GAGGTCTAGATATATGTATAAATGTATTCTGCCACCTACGGAACTAACAAAATTGATTATTCAGAACAAAAATAAGTAACAACACAAATAAATAGTGAATATCGTAAGCTATACTTGCCGCTAACCTTGGATTCTTTGTAGATTTTGTTAAACAAGCTTCTCATGCACAAACTATTTTGTGGGTAGGGTAAGCACAATTGTAAGATTTATAAACATTTACCTAATATAGTTATAAAATGTAACTTTATGACGTAGGTATGTTAAACATAGTCGATGAGAAATTCTGAAGAGCTTGAATCATAACATTCCAACAAGTAGCAGGAACAACAAAATCAGCCTGAACAGAATACCACCAATACTGTAGGCTGTGGGCTGTATGCCTGACCAGAATACCACCAATACTGTATGCTGTGGGCTGTATCGTCAGACCAGAATACCACCAATACTGTAGGCTGTGGGCTGTATCGTCAGAATAACACCAATACTGTAGGCTGGGGGCTGTATACCTGAACAGAATTCCACCAATACTGTAGTCTGTGGGCTGTATCGTCAGAATACCACCAATACTTTAGGCTGTGGGCTGTATCGTCAGAATACCACCAATACTGTAGGCTGGGGGCTGTATGCCTGACCAGAATACCACCAAAACTGTATGCTGTGGGCTGTATCGTCAGACCAGAATACCGCCAATACTGTAGGCTGTGGGCTGTATGCCTGCCCAGAATACCACCAATACTGTAGGCTGTGGGCTGTATCCCTGAACAGAATTCCACCAATACTGTAGGCTGTGGGCTGTATCGTCAGAATGTGTCAGGGATGTGTCATACCTTCCATTGTGTATTCGTAAACCGCATGGAAAGCATTAAGACTGAAGGCCATACGACAAAGAAAGCTGACGTATACCCCTTAATACCGACTCGTTTCAGCTGACTGTGTTTATCTCTCAGGGAATATTTCTTTAGAAGAAATCTCCACCATAAATGAAGCCTTCGTCAGCATTTTGAAACTGCAATGATGTTAACCGTAGTATTCGTATGAGTAAACGATTACCACATCCTCAAAAGGTGTAAATAAAACGAGAAATGGCTGTCCCACATACACACTTGAAACATCACTTGTTAAACAGATGACTGAAAATCATGGATAGCATATCATTATATAATCTACAGTAAATGATATGTAAATTACATATAATTAATCAATAAAATGGGGGTTTATGGACTTTAAATTCATTTTAAAATTACACGACTCATCATTTTCGAAAATTATACAATTTGCTAAGGTTATTTTTACGTTTCCTGTCTTTGATGATCAAATTGAATTCTTACTTTACAATTTAATTTAGTGTAGTAGGGCTTTTAATAATATAAACGTTCAAAGACGATTTATATCACAATCTCCCTTGAAAATATTCTTTCTTACATTAAGTCGTCCAACTCCTCGATTCTGGTTAGGTGAACCATATTCCTTGTATCATGTCATATATTTAAACCCTGCATTTGATATCAGCAATAACATACCCTTAATCCATTTTCTCTCAGATCTATCCAATTTTTGTTATTATTCTATTTGATCGCATAGGACAGAATGACCTGTTTCATGTCGATATATAATTTATTCTAACGCATTCATATTCCACACAAGCCGACCGGTATTGGTATTCCATCACCGCAGTTTCCTTTGCTCTGGACTACCAGCTTTAGTAAATGAGATGTTTAACAGCCTTTGAGAGTGGTGTAAACACACAAGCGCTGAATCAGCCATACCCTTATCAGACGGTTTTTTAGATTTAAAGGATTAACACAAGAAATCAATATATACAGATATTTCTATGCACACGTAATGAGATAGCTACAGACACCATTATGGTTCGAATGTTGTAATAGTTCAACCTAAATTTGAAGTGAAATGAGGCGAACTAATTTTCGTTCTTTATTATTGGTATTATACAGCCTAATATATTAAACTGATAGAAACTCCTGCGGAAGATTAGCATCTACTTAAAAAGTTGTTTACCCCTATTAACTTAACGTATAATCATTCGAAAACGCCGAGCGGAAGTGTGTGTAACCAAATAGATAAAGATTTAAACGAAAAACATCTCTAGTGTCATGCATTCCTTATGCAGACTGAATTAATATCTTACACCTTGAGGGCGTCGATTTTAGGGATATTTTGAAAGTTTTGTTCCCATAACGAAGTGACCTGTATAAATGTGCAAGATAAAAAAAGATTATTTTTTCAGCGCACTCAAACTTTAGACAGCAATAACAGACGTCACAATATTCTTTAATATATATAAAGTTTAACGTTATTATACCACAAACATTTTATATCGTTCACGTATGTAATAATGAACGATAAGACCGAAAAAATGTGATATCAGGATAAAAACGATCTCAAGTAAACCCGCTTAGTAGATATGTATATTATTGTATAATTATCGCGACGCCAACCGTTTTCTTTCCATAACTATTTTCCATGTCGTTTTTATAGTAAGCATACTACGGACTGGCTGAATGGAATTACAGTGTAGTTAATCATTGTGTGCTACACAGTGAATGGGTCGACATAAATGTACGCAGTGAATTTAGTATGGTGGGACCTTGCTTTTCAGCTTATAAGAATGATTGATGATGTAACCTTATTTGAGGTCTGTTAAACATCATCCTCCTTTATTTCATGGAAGGTAGTGAGACATGATGTACAGCAAAGAAAATCCACCATGATGAGAGTATCTTGTAGCCCACAGAGACTGTTTTCATCTTTAAACGATCTATTCTACAAATCCAAATATGCCAGAAAGCAATGAAAAACATTTTAAAATATGCCAATGCTGGGAGAATTTGCTTCGACGAATAATTCAATTCCTTTTTTCACTGTCGATTTTTCGGTGATGATGCTTGTATGATGTGAACAACATAACCGTATAAAATGTTTTATATTACATTAGTATTATACGATATACCAAATCGCGTGAGTGTTATTCAAACAGAAATGTGTTCAGGCTCAATGGGGTATGTGCATTGCTGTATCCTAGCATATAAAGGATTTACGTACAAACAAAATCCGGCAATAGGAAACTCATCGATTTTGTCTAGACGCTCAACCATTGAACCAAAAGTACTTGATTATTTTATATATTTTTGGAATCGTTTCTGTCATAAAAGTCACACTTTAAATACATTTTATCAAACTTTCTCGTCCTTTCTACAACATGTAATCAAGTATAAACAGTTTTATTTCGAGGGTTTTCTTTATTTTCTATAGTCCATGCCATGTTTTTACAAAGTGTTTACAAAAAATAAATTGAATCCATATTCAGCTATACTCTAAAGCTTTATTCAATTATACCAGCTGTAGAAGGCGCCATTATAACGGCGTCAGATACATAATGTAGCTGGTACAATGAACGTGTTGATAACTTTATGTTCATAGCGTCAGAGATCTAGTACATGTACGTACCGATAGCTCTAACGAACATCATGTTCATAACGCCTGAGATTTAATACATGTACGTACCGATAGCCCTAACGAACATCATGTTCATAGCGTCAGAGATGTTATACATGCACGTACTGATAACGCTAACGAACGTCATGTTCATAGCGTCAGAGACCTAGTACATGTACGTACCGATAGCGCTAACTCCCGTCATGTTTATAGCGCCAGAGATCTAGTACATGAACGTACAGATAGCGCTAACGAACATCATGTTCATGGCGTCAGAGATCTAGTACATGTACGAACCGATAGCACTAACGAACGTCATGTTTTTAGCGCCAGAGATTTAGTACATGTACGTACAGATAGCGCTAACGAACTTCATGTTCATAGCGCAAGAGATTTAATACATGTACGTACCGATAGCGCTAAAGAACATCATGTTCATAGCGTCAGAGATGTTATACATGCACGTACTGATAACGCTAACGAACGTCATGTTCATAGCGTCAGAGACCTAGTACATGTACGTACCGATAGCGCTAACGAACGTCATGTTTATAGCGCCAGAGATTTAGTACATGTACGTACAGATAACGCTAACGAACTTAATGCTCATAGCGCCAGAGATTTAGTACATGTACATATCGATAGCACTAACGAACATCATGTTCATAGCGTCAGAGATTTAATACATGTAGGTACCGATAGCGCTAACGAACATCATGTTCATGGCGTCAGAGATCTAGTACATGTACGAACCGATAGCACTAACGAACGTCATGTTCATAGCGTCAGAGATCTAGTACATGTACGAACCGATAGCACTAACGAACTTCATTTTCATAGCGCCAGAGATTTAATACATGTACGTACCGATAGCGCTAACGAACGTCATGTTTAGGACGTCAGAGTTTTAGGACGTAGCGATAGCTCTAATGGACGTTATGTTTATAGTACGTTTTTCTTATGGATCACGGACTAGAAATTGTCATGGTGTAAAAACAACATACCGAAGTATTTAGACGACTTACACAATTCTTTAAACTTACAATGATTAATATTTCCATGACTTGCAAAAACATCAGCTAAAACGGTTATGTACTGCCTCTGTAACAGCAGACAGAATAATACAAATATGTAATGCAACCTATCACTACACTATGTATATATTAGTCTAAGTGGAGTTTCTATAATTTTCCAGTTGTCTTTTTTAGGGATATTTTTTTCATTTGGGATTTCTATACAATATGCTTATTTTTTTATGTAAAAACATAACTTACGCTAGCAATGCGCAAGAACCAGTTCGGATTAACACTTGTCGTGTGGTTTGATAAGTGTTATAACTATCAACGAAAGGATTTAGAGATAAATGTTCCCAAGATGTTACAGTTTTCTGTGTAAAGGAGCTTTAGATAAGGAAAGATTTAATGGATAATGTTATGTCGGGGATAAAGACAGGTTTCTGGGAGATATTCTACAGACCTAGCAGGGTATATAAGATCACGAACCTCGCACAAGAAAAGGAAACGACGCAGGTTTTAAGACATTGTCAATATATTACACAAATGTATTGACCGGACACAATTACCTTTACTTAGCTACTTGTGTTTTGACTTTCTACGTACTAACAACGGTTGGGTACCCCCAACCACTTACAGAACGAACTTATACACAAATTCATACCGGTATATGTACACACTCTTGTATTAAATATACAACAACTCCGTTGACGTATTTAAAGATTTTCGATTTTGACGGAAGCTTTTCAGGTGGGTTAGTGTGAAAATGACATAGGTAAAGACAAGCACTAATGATATTTGAAGTGACAATACCTATATAACTAGTCAGCCAACCGCCTACAGCCTCGGCACGAGAGAGTGCCATTTGATCAGCGTTATATTTGATCGGGGTCGTGTCTCACCTAGGTAAATCTATATTGTTTTATTTACCTGTACTTCATTACATACATCGGTCCATGTGTCTGTGGACATGGAAACGGCATACTAATTGTAAACCTCCCGGAGACACATTGACACGATACAAGGTGGTATTAAGCAACAACTTTCAGTTATAGATCTGCTGGAAAATTTGATATAACTTTCGTTACTACTTTTGCTACTATTGTGGAGATATCATCACGATAGAGGCTTACTGTCAGACGGAAATCTCATAAAACAGGGAACTGTGTATAGATTAAGTAAGTGTGCGATTTTCGTCGATAATTAGGTTGATCTTATTACGTCCGTGTGACATTGTCAGGATCTAAAAGATGCCGCCTTCAAATGAGAAAATGTGGAGTACTAATTACATGGACACCTTTAACAAGAGGAAGCCTGCCCGAAAGTCCTACAAGTACAGAAAACCACTTGTGGTGCCGAAGGAAACGGCTATAGACACGGTAAGTCAATGACACGTACAGCTGTTGTAGAGCACTATATGGTATCGCACCTGCTGCTACAGTTGTAGGACACTTGTAGACACTTCTACATCAGCCTCTGAATTCAACATGACAGAGGTGGCCTACCACCAAGCTGTATGATAAGGGTGATGCTTTAGATTTTCCAGTCGTGAATATTCCCATTCCTGACAGTAAAATTCCTGTTTCCCCGTCTACGGTGTTCACTGGCTCGCCCCAAATACCACGATCACGGTGTCAGATGCTGACCCACTTACTACAGGCTTTTGAGATATAGAGGTAGATGAAGACTGAAGGTCGTCAATATATAGGCATTTTTTTCATTTGTGATTCTTGTGGTTTTGTTGTCTACCCTAGTTCTCTCTTTGAGAACATGGCATTGAATTGATATGACATAGATTAACATGGCGGTTGTTGCCGATAAAGTAGAAGATACCTGTCTTATCAGAACACCTGGATTTCTCTCCTTGTACATTAATAGCGGTGTCCTTATAAATCGTTCACATTTATCCAATGCTCATTCGATTTTAACCACGAATCATGACTTTGTTGACCCTTTGTGCACATTCTTTCAGGAATTTCAAAATTAAGCTGAGTTTAAAAAACGATACTTAAAAACTGAATATAAAAACAAAGTAAGTCATCTGTACCTAATCAAAGAACCATCAATGTGGTTGACAGAACTAGTGCAGGAATTACATCAGGAAGACCATTTCTATGTTATGTTAATCGAAAACCAGTATTAGATCGAAAGTAGGTGATCTATGTCACCTCCACAATGTGTACGTCGTGAGTGTTGACGTCAATGAGTCCGCTGTCTACAAGGAGAATTTCACTGACCTTAGATATTTATTATAGTCATGGAACCAGAAAAGAGGACGTCAACATAAAATGAAAACAAATAAAAACAACACAACTGTCATCTCTCGACGTTATAATGATAAAAATAAACAAAACCTTATAAGAGTCAATTCGGAAGTGATACGTCTATTGGATACCGCAACGGATCCCGTTAACTGTATCAGACAAGCACAGGTATAAGGTATATGGGTCCTAGCTGGTTGACATGCATTCCTGTTGATGTCATTGTCTGCTATCCAGCTTGTGTAATCAAAGTGCTTCACTCGCGTATACCGGCCACTTGTTCTCACGCTGCAAAACCTCAGATCAATATAGCATGAATAAACAGTGGACATATTTAATTTCAGCAAAGATTAGCACATTTGAAGCGCAAGATATTGCAGAATTTAAGTGATCGTCAGTATAAGGAACTAGCATTTGCAAAAACAAGAAATCGTAATTGGTGACCTCAGCATGGCACATAACAAAAATGATGAAATGTGCTAATTTTTGTCAGAAAAAGTTATCTTTGAAAAGACAAATATGTCATTTTCCAAAGACTCTATAAGTTATTTAAAAACGTACTTTTCTGTAAGTATAGGTACGGACCACGGTCACCTTTCGTTAGATGGTGCCTGACCTGACCAGACACATTACACAGATAGATAGCATTTTCTTGCTATGTTCAGACAACCCAGCTTAAGTACATAAACCAGGAATGTTTCCTTTTGTAACGAGTAATTTTAAATTCTTCGTTCAAAAAGTGTCTGGATATTTGACAAATTGTGCTTGCATATAAAACGTACGGCTTTCAACAAAAGGTTTGAGTACAAATGACAACAATAATCAAAGAGAAACATCCCACTAGACACATCTTCTGTTTCTGAAATGACACATCAAGTGTTTTTAAAAATAATAACTACCTGGGATTGTTTCAATAACAAGTAATCGACCAACATAACATCATGGACTTTTCAAAAAAGTCAAAATGAAATGACCTCATTATTTCTTTCAAGTAGTGTTTTAATAGACCTCCTAACAAAAAGTCAACGTGTAATTAAAGATAGATTCGACTAGACCTCCATACTGATATGAAGAACTACATTCATGTAAAAAGACATATCAGATAACCAATAGAAAACGCAAACAAAAGTAACATTGGCACGGGTAAATCTGTAACTCTGTACTAACACCATGAGTAAATCTGTAACTCTGTACTAACACCTCGGGAAAATCTGTAACTCTGTACTAACACCACGGGTAAATGTGTAACTCTGTACTAACACCACGGGTAAATCTGTATCTCTGTACTAACACCACGGGTAAATCTGTAACTCTGTACTAACTCCACGGGTAAATCTGTAACTCTGTACTAACACCTTGGGTAAATCTGTAACTCTGTACTAGCACCATGGGTAAATCTGTAACTCTGTACTAACACCATGAGTAAATCTGTAACTCTGTACTAACACCTCGGGAAAATCTGTAACTCTGTACTAACACCACGGGTAATTCTGTAACTCTGTACTAACACCACGGGTAAATCTGTAACTCTGAACTAACACCTTGGGTAAATCTGTAACTCTGTATTAACACCACGGGTTAATCTGTACCTCTGTACTAACACCACGGGTAAATCTGTAACTCTGTACTAACTCCACGGGTAAATCTGTAACTCTGTACTAACACCTCGGGAAAATCTGTAACTCTGTACTAACACCACGGGTAATTCTGTAACTCTGTACTAACACCACGGGTAAATCTGCAACTCTGTACTAACACCACGGGTAAATCTGTAACTCTGAACTAACACCTTGGGTAAATCTGTAACTCTGTACTAAAACCATGGGTAAATCTGTAACTCTGTACTAACACCTCGGGTAAATCGGTAACTCTGTACTAACACCACGGGTAAATCTGTATCTCTGTACTAACACCACGGGTAAATCTGTAACTCTGAACTAACACCTTGGGTAAATCTGTAACTCTGTACTAACACCTCGGGTAAATCTGTAACTCTTTACTAACACCTCGGGTAAATCTGTAACTCTGTACTAACTCCACGGGTAAATCTGTAACTCTGTACTAACACCACGGGGAAATCTGTACCTCTGTACTAACGCCACGGGTAAATCTGTAACTCTGTACTAACACCATGAGTAAATCTGTAACTCTGTACTAACACCTCGGGTAAATCGGTAACTCTGTACTAACACCACGGGTAAATCTGTACTTCTGTACTAACACCACGGGTAAATCTGTAACTCTGTACTAACACCTTGGGTAAAGAGAGCGGTTCTATTTGTCTTAACTCTCACACCACAACGGGTAAAAAGGGAGGGGTCCAAGAATGTATTCCTTACAAAAATAAATATTCCCCACCCATTTCAAACTATTGGTCTTCAGTATCTGCCATGATTTAACACCAACTCAGAGTTTGACTTTCCATGTCGACGTGGTGGTACATGCATATTGGTTTTTTAATATGACTTCGCAATCTTAGAAAACCTCATCCAAAATTATGTTTTGTTGAATAAACATACTTATACATCTCCATAAACAATACGTGTAATTAAAGATATCTGCTAATGAGCCTCCATAGAAAAGAAACCACGTGCTAGCTACTACATTAGGTCTCCATACAAAAACCACATATAATCATATCGGGATTCCATTAGAAGATACATGTAAATCCCAAAAACAACTTTGTTCAAAACCCACGTATAATAAAACATTACAGATACTACTTTGCTTTCTTACAAAAATCACGTAGTCCAGACCCCCTCACAAAAACAAGTCCAATTAAAGATAGATTATACTAGACCTCCATACTTATTCTAAATTATCTAGCTTCACTTGATATGAATAACTACATTCATGTATTCTACTTCATCCCTATTCTAGAGATATTTGTTTTGTTATATCTGCTTGTATACAATAAACAAACAACAATTATTGGTCCGTATTTGTTAGATATGGATCCGGTACTAGATAACTCTCTAACTAACAAACATGACTGAAATGACTATACCACTGGATATTCCAAAAAACACAAATGACTGACATGACTATACCACTGGATACTCTAACTAACTCACATGACTGACAAGACTATACCACTGGATACTCTAACTAACTCACATGGCTGACCTGACTATACCACTGGATACTCTAACTAACACACATGACTGACATGACTATAGCACTGGATACTCTAACTAACTCACATGACTATACCATTGGATACTCTAACTAACTCACATGACTATACCACGGGATACTCTAACTAACTCACATGACTATACCACTGTATACTCTAACTAACTCACATGACTGACATGACTATACCACTGGATACTCTAACTAACCCACATGACTATACTACTGGATACTCTAACTAACCCACATGACTGACAAGACTACACCACTGGATACTCTAACTAACACACATGACTGACATGACTACACCACTGGATACTCTAACTAACTCACATGACTATACCACTAGATACTCTAACTAACACGCATGACTGACATGACTAGACCACTGGATACTCTAACTAACATACATGACTGGCATGACTATACCACTGGATACTCTAACTAACACACGATACTCTAACTAACACACATGCCTGACATGACTATACCACTGGATACTCTAACTAACTCACATCACTGACAAGACTATACCACTGGATACTCTAACTAACACACACGACTGACATGACTATACCACTGGATACTCTAACACAATACTCTAACTAACTCACATGACTATACCACTGTATACTCTAACTAACACACATGACTATACCACTGGATACTCTAACTAACATACATGACTGGCATGACTATACCACTGGATACTCTAACTAACTCACGTGACTGACAAGACTATACCACTGGATACTCTAACTAACTCACATCACTGACAAGACTATACCACTGGATACTCTAACTAACACACGATACTCTAACTAACACACATGCCTGACATGACTATACCACTGGATACTCTAACTAACTCACGTGACTGACAAGACTATACCACTGGATACTCTAACTAACTCACATCACTGACAAGACTATACCACTGGATACTCTAACTAACTCACATGCCTATACCACTGGATACTCTA